TCATAAAGTTCCCGTTGAAATTGCCATTCAAGCTTTAAGCAGTATTGTTAACCAAATCTATCTCTAACAATTGATAAAACTGTCTCATAAAATAAATGAAAGTAACTATATTCTTGGTTTCCTATGGGAAATGGGAACTTAGATAAACTAAATATTTTATTGGTCCTTTAAATATGTACATTCAAAACAACACCCTCGTAAATGCATATTCATAAAAAACATTTGAAAAGATGTTGTGTGAAAAGATTATAAGAAAGATTACCATAAATATAGCTTAAACACAACGAAAAGAAGATTTGCTGACGAATTGAGATCTTCCAAATTATTTTGCTAATCAGAATATCTTGATATTTTATTGGGAATACATCAAAACAAAGCCGACTTTTGGTTTTCGATTTGCGGGGGAGGAAAGCCGTCTAAACGAAAAGACGAAAATAAAAATGAAAATCGAAATGAACAAAAGAAAAGCTGAGCGATTGTGAAATAATCGAATGGTTGAGTCTTATGTTTTCTAAAAATTCACTTATTTTAGAAAACTATCGTAATTTGATCATTCGATCAGCTCAACAGAAAGTTTCCATTCGATCAGCTCAACAGAAAGTTTCCATTCGATCAGCTCAACAGAAAGTTTCCATTCGATCAGCTCAACAGAAAGTTTCCATTCGATCAGCTCAACAGAAAGTTTCCATTCGATCAGCTCAACAGAAAGTTTCCATTCGATCAGCTCAACAGAAAGTTTCCATTCGATCAGCTCAACAGAAAGTTTCCATTCGATCAGCTCAACAGAAAGTTTCCATTCGATCAGCTCAACAGAAAGTTTCCATTCGATCAGCTCAACAGACATTTTCCTCAAACCATTCGATTATTTCACAATCACTCAGCTTTTCTTTTGTTCATTTCGATTTTCATTTTTATTTTCGTCTTTTCGTTTAGACGGCTTTCCTCCCCCGCAAATTGAAAACCAAAAGTCGGCTTTGTTTTTGATGTATTTCCATTCGATCAGCTCAATTTTGAGTGTTCTGATTCAGCATAAAATACGAAAAATGAGCTGATTTCGATGTAAACTGGTGTTTTGATTACAATAGCTCTCTAGAGTTGGCGTTTTTTAGAAAACGGATTAATCGCGAGAACATTGACTGCCTCTTTAGCCTATCGTTATCCCAGTATTGATATTATGAAGTTGGAAATTTAAGTCATATATCGAAATTTACATAAAACGAGACTATTTTCAATTTCAACATAGCCAAAGGCAATGTTGAAAAGCTGTAATAAATTTACCGCTATCGGAAGACGTTTAAAAAGTTGATGAAAGAAGAAATGGTGAAATCTCTTGATTGGCTTGAGGGGAAAGCCTCAAGCTTTCAGAAAAAGAGCCGAAAAAGGAAAGTAAATTGGGGATGTTCCCGAATAGTTATGGCGAGTTGCGCAAAGGATCTAAGGGCAGCAAATGAACCTGGTGTGTGTGTGTGTGTGTGTTTGGGGTGTTCCCGAATAGTGTTTTTAAAAAGTTGATGAAAGAAGAAATGGTGAAATTTCTTCATGACATGATTGGTTTGAGGGGGGAGTTTCAAGCTTTCAGAAAAGAGCCAGGTGCCGGGGGAAAGTAAATTGGGGGTGTTCCTGAATATTCTCTTGCCATTCTTTTTTCATCTTCTTCTTCTGATTTCTTGGGGAAAGTTCTGTCTTTGAGGCAGAAATGGGGAAAATGTCTGGGAAGGGATTTCATTTTCTTCTTGAGGTAGGTAAAAGCTAAGGATGTTTAGAAGATTTTCTGAAACAATTATTCAGACATATTTTTAGTCTTTATTCCTAAATGCTTGAAAGGATAGAAATTTATCAAAAAAATGATAAATCGATATTTTAACATCTTCCTAAAAATCTTAGTAATAATCTATGAAAACTAAAAAAAATCAAAATCAAATTTGTTAAAATGCTTGTTTTTCTAAAAAATTGAGATTCAGGGGAGTTCAGATCTATTGAGATCTGAAAAGAATGCCGGGAAAAATGGCTTTATTGGTAGCAACAATTAAAAGTTTACTAAAAACAATGGGGGATGGCTACTTTGCGCCAAATTTTTGTGCGCAACTGTGTCTATGAGAGGACTCGTTATAATTTTTTTGAAAGTTTTCCATTGTTTTTGATTTTGGTGTCATTTTGCTGGACTTGTTTAGATCTTCATAAATGACACCAAAATCACAAAGATTGGCCGACTTTAGAAGAAAGTTATGGTGAGCTGCGCAAATGACCCTGTTATGCTTCTAAAAATTGCGGAAATTAGCCTACCCCGAATCCCGCTTTTAGTGAGCATAATTCTAGAAAAAGAGCTTCTTGCTAAAATGCATATGCTAGTATGCAATGCTAGTAGATTATGAGAGTTATGGATTTTAGAACTTTTACAGAGTACCTTGACTTTTATCAAGGGTTTAAAGTGGAAGGACAAGGACATGACAAGGAAATCAACAAGAAAATCATTGAAAACTTTACAAAATTCAGTAACAATAACAAAAACATTAAAGATTAAAGTTAAAATTAGGATCAATTTCAATTGCGACAAGATCCCCTATCAAGTAAAGATTTGTAATTTCAATTGTTAAAATTGAGTTTACAAGAATTGCAATTGTTTCTCAATTGCAAACTATCGACTCGGAGAAGAAGTGGTTTCAAATTGAAAAAATGGAAATTGAAAATGAGAAGAGAACCTGCTCTGAAAAGAAAGGTGAAGGGAAGAGGGCTTTTCCAAAGCACAAGGACAGGTAAGAAGGAATGGGATAAGTGAAAAAAGAGGGGGAAAGGGATAGAAAAAGAAGAGGAAAAGCAGAGAAAAAAAAGGTGTTCCCCAATATTCACCTAGTGATGAAAAGGAGAAAGAGATGGAAAGCGCGTGAGGGGCGGACAGAGCAGAGGGGACAGCGCGGTGGTTGCTGGGGGAGGGTATCCACGTCCGCCAGTCTGTCTCAGTCTGTCTGCCTCTTTCCCTTCTCTTTTCCTTCTCTTTCCTTTCCCTTTCCCTTCTCTTTCCCCTTCTCTTTCCCCTTCTCTTCCCTCTTCTCTTCCCCTTCTCTTCCCCTTCTCTTCCCCTTCTTTTTCCCTTCTCTTCCCCTTCTCTTTCCCCTTCTCTTTCCCCATCCATCTCTCTATATTTTGTCTATTGTCTAAGTGAAATCATGGGGAAAGTGGTCAAGCAAAAGATTGAGTTCACAATGGAGCTGGATAAGAAAGACTCTATCCAGTCAAATTTTTTTTATGAACTCAATCTTTTCTTGATCACTTATTCCTATTCTGGGCATCAATGTTTCTTCGGGAAAGATTAAAAGTACAACAAGTACAACAAGATTAGAGGATTAGATTTTGAAATCTTTCTAGACTGATGTACATGGGTGTATTTTGTCTTGAAACGGAAGCGGATCAAACCAAATCAGACAATTTTCCTGTCAAAGAAACTGTGCCTTAAATTCTATAGGCTTAAAAGTTTTGGATCTACCTTAAATTGAAATTGAATTCTTTCCTTAAAAATTAACGGCTTTCTTTTCGTTTATTTATTTATGATTAGATAGTCTTTGCTATTTAGGTCTTTGAAAATACAGTCGACTTTCTCTATAACGAAACACTATATAGTGGAAAGCTCTATATAACTGAATGGAATTTTGATCCCAGCCGATGCTAATCTATATAACGGCACTCTATATAATGAAAATATCGATTTTCACACGTTTTTTTGAGCCCTTCCGTTATGGAGAAAGTCGTGCCCTAAAATCGATAGCTTTACCGTAGCTAAAGATTTGAACTTGAGCTATTTAAGACTAAAGATTTCTTTAGAGGAATTCAAATTTCTTTTCTTTTGTAGATTCAAAAGATTGGAAGGAAACGTGTGAAATTGAACATTCAGCTGACATGTCCTTTAAGCCTGGATCTTAGTCTTAAATAGCTCAAGTTTAAATCTTTAGCTACGGCTTAGGCTTAGGCTTAGGCTTAGGCTCAGGCTTAGACTTAGGCTTAGACTTAGGCTCAGGCTTAGACTTAGGCTTAGGCTTAGGCTTAGGCTCCCCCCCCCCCCCCCCCCCCCCCCTTTTTTTTTTTTTTTTTTTTTTTTTTTTTTTTTTTTTTTTTTTTTTTTTTTTTTTTTTTTTTTTTTTTTTCTTGAGGCTTAGACTTAGGCTCAGGCTTAGGCTTAGGCTTAGACTTAGGCTTAGGCTTAGGCTTAGGCTTGGGCTTGGGCTTTCTTATGATCCCAGCCGATGCTAATCTATATAACTGCACTCTATATAATGAAAATATCGATTTTCCCACGTTTTTTTTGAGCCCTTCAATTCCGTTATAGAGAAAGTCGTGCCTTAAAATCGATAGCTAGCTAGATAGCTTACCGTAGTTAAAGATTTGAACTTGAGCTATTTAAGACTAAGATCCAGACTTAAAGGACATGTCAGCTGAATGTTCAATTTCACACGTTTCCCTCCAATCTTTTGAATCTAAAAAAAAAGAAAAGAAATTTGAATTCTTCTAAAGAAATCTTTTCTATTCACTCATTTTTGATCGTTCTTTGAAAAACGGCCTTTTTTTTCCTTCCCTTTTCAATGATTCATTCTTTTTAATCGAAAAAACGCAGACTCTTCGAAAATCATCGCAAAGAATTTCGTAACAATGCGAAACAGAGAAAACAAATATGCATTGTGTTTGGATGTTTTTGTGAAAAATTTAAAACAAAATGGGATTTATTTTTGGATAAATGAATTGAATGTCGATTATAGATGGGATCGAAATTTCGGCCGATCGTGTGTTGAAAAGGCTAACCGATTAAAAGGCTAGCCGATTAGAAGGCTAACTGATTAAAAGGCTAACCGATTAAAAGGCTAGCCAAACTATAAGTCTTGAAAGTCTTATAAGACTTGAAACGACTATAATTCTTGTGCTCTTACAGAAAATTTGAATAAATATCATCTACATAATTAAACTTTATTTAATCTAAAGCACATTACACTTTTAAATATTCAATCTTTTCCTCAAGAGCGCAACTCCTTGTCGGCCTCGCGGAACGGGATGCTGAAATTTCAGTTGAGAGTTTCACAAGAATATCTCTAGGAAAGTAAAGCTGTTATAAATACATTATATTAGATTGACAACTTGAAAGTACACTTCGTATTTCCCAGAAAACATATATGCCAATTGAATTAGATTTCTCTCAATTTGAATTACCGTGAACACTGTAATAGTACCACACCCCCTTAATGACGGTGCGGAGTGTTGCGTAGCCTAGCTTTGAACGACTTTTTCTCGATACTGGTTTATGCTACAAGGCGCGCTTAGGTATCAAAAAATAGCTGAAATTCAGGGCTATTTTTGATATCAACAGACGGAGCATCGCGTAGCCTAGCTTTGAACGAGTTTTTCTCGACACTGGTTTATGCTACAATTCGCGCTTAGGTATCAAAAAATAGCCCTGAATTTCAGCTATTTTTTGATACCAAAGACGCATTTACTAAAAGTACGGGCGCTTTGAAAAAAATGAAATACTTAAAAACTTTTGCGACTACGCGACTGTACGGGGTGGGGTACTATTACAGTATTTACGGTAGATTAAAAGTTACATATTATCGAATTTAAGACAAACTTAAGCAAATTTGGACATAAATTTTCAAATAAATTTGAGCAGAAATTCAAGTTTTTTTTTTCTGAAAATTCCTCAAACAGACATATAACGAAAACAATTAGAAGAATCGAGCTGAGAATTCGGCTATATGCCTAACTTTTGATGCCCTATCTTTTTTCTATGAACCTCAAAATAGGTTTATGTGGAAGAAAGTGCTCAACGCTCAAATCGCTTCATCGAGTGTTCATCTTTTTTGGTTCCTCAACTTCTGCCCCTAGAAAAACCACAAAGCCGAAACCTTTCTAAATCTGTTAAAAGCCTGTTTTAGAGAATAAATGAGCCTTTTTATTAGTGAAAACTGTAGATTAATTGGGGTAATAGTTATTTCTAAAAAGTCCAATGAATACCGTATTTTCTCTAATAGTAGCGCACCCAGAGCGTCGCCTAAATTGCTCGAAATCTCGAAAACCGCTTATCAGCACCTATTGATGTGGGGTAGGAAAATGTAGCCGACGATGAGATCTAGTGGGGGATTTTGAGTGTTGAGCTCCTGGGAAAACTTGGGAAGTTGCCAATAGTCACCACTTTGCCTGGCCGGGGGTACACTACTATTAGAGAGAATACGGTATTCATTAATATTAATAGATTACGGGATTTTCTCTAACCTAGGCTTCCCCTAAGTTCCTTGAAATCTCGAGAACCGCTTATCAGAACCTATCGATGTGGGGTAGGAAAATGCAGCTGACGATGAGATCTTGTGGGGGATTTGAGTGTTGAGCTTCTGCAAAAGCTTGGAAACCGTCAAATAGTCACCAACTCGGGTGCACTACTATTAGAGAAAATACGGTAATTGGTGCACTAGTTATTTCTAAAAAGTCCAATGAATAAGTGTCCCAACTTTCAAGTTGCTAATTTAATAGTAGCAAAATAAGTATACTATTATATTTGAGAACCCGGTTCTTCTATTTTTCAAGAATGATCGGTAGCAGATTATTTAACAGGAACAGTTACTCTTTTAAACAATAAACTACCGATTTTGAGCCGGATTTCGTCCTTTCTCGAAAGCCTCTGTATCAATTGGAAGCACCGATTCGTCAGTGTCCTGAAAGTAGATCAAGAATTGTTAAATATTTAAGATAAGAAAAGGCATTGCCTATCTGACCCTCAACTCCTCCTCAGTGGGCATATCGGCTGGATGAATGAAAGAAAGAGGATCCATCTCACCGTCCGGGAAGCTCTAAAGATAAATTTCCATTTAAATAGCAAATAAAATACAGTGAAAATGTCGCCCTTTTCTTCCGCTCCGCCCGTTTTGATCATTGAATCGGTTTCGGTTCCTTTTGCGATCTGAAATGCATCAAAGATTTACGAGCAAAAGTGTGAGTGAAGAATAAAGGAAAGGCCCAAGTCTCATAGCTTACAAGGAAAGATCAACTGGCTGAGCCAGCCAAATGACATGCAGTCTGTACCATTCGACGCAGAATTTCACGCTGATTCCGAATCTGCTTTCCGTTTTTGCTGAATGTTATTTGGGCAGGAGTTATAAGGACTTGTTAGGACTCTGAGAATATAGGTTTTTGGATCTTAGGCGCCTTCTGCGCGACCTCAACTCTATTATAGTAGGTTTCGATGATTAAATTGTGTCCAGGAGGGACTGACTGTTTGATTAGATTGAATAAATTGTGATCTCGGAAGCTGGTCCATGTCCGAGTACACAAAGAACGCAAGTTTTCACATCTTGAAAAAAAGCAAAAAAACTGGGCCTCCAATCAGAGATCTTTGGTCTCGAAAAAAGACGCTCTACCGCTCGACTACAATCTACAAGAATTGAGGCCGCGCAGAAGGGGCTCAAGATCCAAAAACCAATATTTTCAGAGTCCAAACAAGTCCTTATAACTCCTGCCCAAATAACATTCAGCGAAAACGAAAAGCAGATTCGGAATCAGCGTGAAATTCTGCGTCGAATGGTAAAGGCTGCATGTCATTTGGTCGGCTCAGCCAGTTGACCTTCCCTCGTTAGATATAGAAAAGACGAACTGGGATACGCTAACTTTTTCCTGAACACGAAACACTGAACAATTCCCCCTCTCACCTCAGTCACAAATCCGTCTCCTTCTTTTTTCATTTCAGTCACAAACGAGTGCTCTCTCGTGTACTCGGGTAGCTAAATCTTTTAAAACAAAAAAGATTTCCCTGAAAACCTCTTCGATTAACGTGTCGTGAGCAACTTTCTCCAACTCCTCGCTCTCATTGATCAGATAATCAGAGATATCCTGTAAATTTGAATATGATAAAACTGTGAATTTTTACCGCATGATCATCGACTTCAATGCCAGACCCTTCCTCAATCGTTTGATTGGGATTTTGTCTGCCTTGTGGATTATCTGAAATTTTATTTTAAAAATGCATTTTCAATAATGTGGTACAAACGTTGCACAAGAAGTCGTAAATCTAAAAAACAGGAAAAAGCAAATCTTGAGTCTTGTCGCCGGGGATTGTACCCCCGAACCCTCGACTAAAATACCAGCCTCTTAGCCACTCGGCCATGAAGGTCATTTCCAGGGGATAAAAATAAGTTGGCTTTATAAGCTTTGTGCTCTTTTTTTTCTTACAAATATTGAAGGTAAGTGTCGCTTCGGTGTCTCCGCGTGTTGTGAAGAGGAAAATCGGCATGAAATGATTCGCGGAAACGATTCGACGAGACGCATAGCCGGCACAACAAAATCTGAAACACAAAAAACAATCTTTTCTTTTGCATAATGGATCACCTAGTCATATTTTGGGTTCACATTCAATTTCGGGTTCTCATTTTTTTTTTGGGTTCTCATTCAATTCATTTCTACCTGTATCCAGTGATCCTCTTATCCGTGTGTGGCTTCAATTCGATCGCTTGCCTCCAACAACCCGTCTCACAAAGTGTCCCACGTAATTTATTCAATCGTACTTCAACGCGCTTTCCTTTTGGAGCCTGCATTACTTATATATATCAAATAATTCTCTTATAAGTTGATCATTTTTTGTTTTAAACTCACTGCCAAATGGTAGATGCAGTTGCGGAGATGGGTCGCTTTCTCATTGCGCTTTATGTGGATTCTGAAGATTCTCATTGTCAGTTAAAACGTATATTTAGGAAATTCTTGTCCTGTATATCAAAAAGTTTAAGATTTTCAAATGTCATACCTGATCTTTTGTGGTGCATGAGTGGCTCGTACCACTCCACCGCATCCGATCACACTTGGTGCCTCTCGTCGAGTGCATTGACGTCCCGCAAATCCCTCTGGGCATCTGAATGAATAGATTTTATAAGACTATAGAGATTATAGAGATGTGATTTGACGTGGCTTACTAGGCTAATAAAGTTAGTGAAGAAAAAAAGATGTAAAAAATGATACAAAAATAAACGCTTCAAGGGTACAATAGGTGAATGTAGTTTGTCAAAATTGACGAAAAGTCAAAGTGTTTAATAACAACTAATGAGTAAAAATTACTTAAAAGTGGATCCTTTGACTCACCGAGTTTTGTAGAAAAACAGCCAAGTTTAGGACAATAAATTGATCGCAAAAATAAAAAATGACGCCCAAAACTGATTCTGTTTACGAAGAATGTCGGAAATACAAAAATAGTCGCATTGGACGGAAGAGGATCATGTAACGGTCTCACATTGTAATTTTGAAATTGGATTGGCAGGGCCGCGCGAACGCAGCCCCTCACGCAAAAATTTAGCTGTTAGCGAACCCCAACTCGGAGCTGCCACACGGGTCAACACAGTCAAAAGTGCAATGACCATGTCTCACCATGGGGGTCCCGTCTTGGTGATCACGAGAAACCCCCCAGCCAGGTAAGTTTATGAGCGGGTCGAGGGAGGGGGTTAACTAAAAGACGTGCGCCAGATCGCGAGCGATTACGAGTGTCCACAAAGAACACCCAAGGGGTCGGGCATGTCTTGTTGCCACGGGGAAAAAAGAAGTTTAAATCCTTTTATTGGAGTTTAAGATACTCAAGCAAGGACAGAATATCTGAAGATTAGTTTGATTTTGGGTTTATTCAAATGGGAACGGCTTCTTTTCTCTCGGAGTTAAATTTTTAGTCTTCATTAAAGAAATTCAAGTAATGTGTGCAAGATAGCAAGATAGTAGCATCCAAAAATAGCAAGATATAAAAATAGTTGATATCAAAATCAAAATAAACACTTTAAACAAAACCGTTGCACAGTGGAGTTAAAAATGGATAAATTTGTGGGGCTGCGGCACAACATTACAATTGTTGGCATGTTTGGCAGGGCCGCGCGAACGCGGTCCCTCAGGCTGTTAGCGAACCAAAACTCGGAGCTGCCAAAAGGGTCACACAATCAAAAGTGCAATGACCATGTCTCACCATGGGGGTCCCGTCTTGATGTTCATGATAAAATCCCAAGCCTGGTAATTTTATCAGCGGATCGAGGGAGAGACTTAACCAAAAGACAAGCGCCAGATCGACAGCGATTACGCCGCCGCAAAAAGAACACATCAGTGATCGATAGATGCCTTGTTGCCACGGGCATTTCCAATAAAGACATTCTTCAAAACTATGAGATTACATTCGATTATCCGAGATGTTGAGATGTTTCAACCCAAGCAATGCGCTTTCAAAGTTATTGGTTGATTATGATCTTTCTTTACCTTAATATGAGAATACGGTACATAAAATGTTGCACATTTCAAACAAAAGCACGACTTCAGAATATTCATTTTTCCAATGTTTCCCCCATGAAAAAGTTCAGTCTAACTAACTCCCTGATTCATAAAAATTCTCGATGAAGATGCCCGTGCTTTCGCTTTAAATTATTCCATTTGTCCAAAGGAGAAGTCCAAGAATAGCCTTCCATCCCCTCATTTAAGCTTTCTCAAGCTTTTGATATTTATCTTTTAAAGCTTTCAACTTTTGATATTTATCATAGGCTTGGCTTAAGTTTTCCTTTTACCGTAATTCGAATAAAAATAAAGTCAGAATTACGGTTTAAAAACGGTCTTAAAGCATATCAGTTGGATTTACCTCTTATAGCCTTTCAATTCTATTAGCAGGGCCGCGCGAACGCAGCCCCTCACGCAAAAATTTAGCTGTTAGCGAACCCCAACTCGGAGCTGCCACACGGGCCAACACAGTCAAAAGTGCAATGACCATGTCTCACCATGGGGGTCCCGTCTTCATGATCACGAGATACCCCCCAGCCAGGTAAGTTTATGAGCGGATCGAGGGAGGGGGTTAAGTAAAAGACGTGCGCCAGATCGCGAGCGATTACGCGTTGGCAGAAAGAACACCCAGGCGGTCTGGGGTGTCTCGTTGCCGCGGGCATTTTTATCAGAGACATTGTTTCAAACTATGAGGTTTATCCGAGATGTTGGAATGTTTCTACCCAAGCGATGCGCTTTCAAAGTCATAGGTTGATTACGATCTTTTCACTTAATAGAAAATACGGTACATAAAATGTTGCACATTTCAAACCAAAGCACGACTTCAGAATATTCATTTTTCAAATGTTTCCACGATCATTTGTCTCACTTACATCAATCTATTGGCAGGGCCGCGCGAACGCAGCCCCTCACGCAAAAATTTAGCTGTTAGCGAACCCCAACTCGGAGCTGCCACACAGGTCAACACAGTCAAAAGTGCAATGACCATGTCTCACCATGGGGGTCCCGTCTTGTTGATCACGAGAAACCCCCCAGCCAGGTAAGTTTATGAGAAGGCGATTGGCGTGACATAAAGAAGACCCCTTTGCTAGATTGCGCACCTTTACACGAGGCAACAAAGAACGCACAACGTGAGAGGAAAGACGCAGAGCTTTCGCTTTCGAAAGAAAACAGCAAAAATACTTGTGAAGAGAAAATAGAAAAAAGAAGCTTGAAATGAAGCTACCGTAATCTCTAGATAAACAACTAAATAACCTTTGCTAGAGCGATTCCGCGCGACAAAGAACACCTTGGTGGATGTCTCCATCAGTGATTGTTGTCTATTATTCTAGTCAACTCACTTGCAGTATCCACATCGATTCGGATCATTATAGCCGTTATTCAAGCATTTCATTCTCAATTTGCAACGGCCTAAATATACATAAAAGATAAAATAAATGCTTTACTTTGACAGTTATAGTGAGTATTCAACAATTGTAGATCCAAGAAAGTCGGTCCAGTCAACGATCCCATTGTGTATTGATAATTTGGATCTTTTGCCACCACTGAGGGGACATTCGACTGCACGGAGAACCGGAAATTAGAGAAAGTTATTAAGTTATTCAGTTGGCTGCTTTGATGTTTGATTTAGAAATGAAAGATTCGCTTACTCGGTTGGTCCATAGTGCATCACTGATCCGATCTCGTAAGGGATCCCGTACGTTTTCAAGCTCGATATTCCCACCTAGAATTTCTCAAAGTTCTCAAATAAACTAGATTGATACTAGATTGAATCCTAGACTGGATACTAGACTGGATCCTAGACTGGAGCCTTGACTGGATCCTCTAGACTGGATCCTAGACTGGATACTAGACTGGATAGTAGCCTGAATCCTAGACTGAATCCTAGACTGGATCCTAGACTGGATACTAGACTGAATCCTAGCCTGAATCCTAGACTAGATCCTAGACTGGATACTAGACTGGATACTAGACTGAATCCTAGACTGAATGAATGACCTTAGGCTTAGATTAAATTGTTTAAAAAAATCCGTAGATTTTAACACCGACTTTTCCAAAATTGTAGTAAAGGCCTTTGGGAACGCGATTGGCCAACACGTGAATGAACTTGTCACGATCATATCTGAGATTGGGATTTAAGAGCGAAAGATAAAGTTTTGTAAGGCAAAACTATTAGATTCAAACATTTGTAATTGTCGTTTTGTACAATTTTGTGTAAAAGGTAGTGAGAGATTTACAAAACTGTTTCAATTTTTGATGAAACATCATTGTTGAGTAGATAATAGTTGTTTTAAATCATTTCCCCACAGATTATTTATTTGTTTTCTAAAGGGCGGACCTCCTACCGTACCCTTAACTGTCCGCCATTTCACAAAATTGTTTCTCTTTGGTCAAATTCGTTGTCAAACTTTTGTTTGAAAAGAATTGCTCAAGATTGCCGAAATAAATTGTTAAATCAATTTGTACCATCAAGGAAATACATACCGCAAATACTGTAATTGGACCTCACCCCGATAATGACGGTGCGGAGTGTTGCGTAGTCTAGCTTTGAACGAGTTGTTCTCGACACTGGTTTATGCTACAATGCGCGCTTAGGTATCAAAAAATAGCTGAAATTCAGGGCTATTTTTTGATACCAAAGACGCATTTTTTAAAAGTACGGGCGCTTTGAAAAAAATGAAATACTAAAAAACTTTTGCGACTACGCGACTGTACGAGGGAGGTGTGGTACTATTACAGTATTTACGATAGGTTGGCAAGTTATAAACGATCGCTTGCTTTGTTCAATGATTACTTAGAATTCAAAAAAAGATTTTTCGTGGGGTTTTTTTTCAGCAAACAAACTCCAAAATTTTCGCGTAAACATAAGATCCCTTCCAGATTTCTGAGCCCCTTCTGAGCCAAATTTCTGAAAAAAAATGGAGGACGAGAAATTTCTTATTCGCACAGCTATGCTCTACGATTTTAAACAAGGAAAATCAGCCGCTGAATCTCGTCGTACAATTATTTCCGCTTTTGGAGATGGAAGTATTAGCGAAAGTCAATGTTGAAAATGGTTTCAAGGCTTTCAAAGTGGCAACGAAGGTCTCCAGGATGAGCCGCATGAGAGGCACCCTCCAGGAGTCACTCATGTGAATTTGCTGGGTATTAAAAATAGCCCTGAATTTCAGCTATTTTTTGATACCAAAGACGCATTTTTTGAAAGTACGGGTGCTTTGAAAAAAATGAAATACTGAAAAACTTTTGCGACTACGCGACTGTACGAGAGGGTTGGGGTCCAATTACAGTATTTACGGTAAGTATACAAAAATTATAATAAATCATTCTCTAATCTTAAATACATTTAAAAAATAAAACAATTCGAAGAAAGCAAAGGAAAGTTAACCTGCTCTGTTCATGAAAGAGTCCCAATGCATGGGCCACCTCGTGTGAGGAAATGCCAAACTGAAAGGAAATATAACTATCATATTGGTGCAATAAATTAGAATCTTAGATAGTAAACGGTATTAATATTATTAATATTAAGCTTATTCAATAAACCGGTTCACAGCCATCCCCAATCGAGATCCATTGTTGGCGTTGTGATGGATCCCTGCCCACCGTGCTCCAACAGCCAGCATCGTGTCCGATATAGTACAAGTACACCTAGATGTTTGCATTAAATAAAGGTTTATTTGAATTTCCAAAGTTTAAATCACTCACATCCTCTTTTGTCCTTTTTCTGAAACGAATACAAGTGTGTCTCTGGAAATATTTCATCGCTGCGATCACTGTGTACTTTTTGTAGCGATCTAAAAGATTGGAAGTGTAAAAGCTGAAAGCTAAATCTCGATAGTTTCCGTTTATGCATTGTAATTTATTCCATAATCTATGGATTGTTGGCGGATGGGCCCGGGGGCCCGGGTTCAGGGCCCGGGTTCGTCAAACTATTTACCATTTACCATCTAGTAATTTTGCTAAATCAATTTACCAATTCAACATTTAGCAACTTTGCTATGCTGATACTGAGTATGCTTTTACTTTTTCGAGCTCTGTAACGAAAAGAGTTTCTGTATTTTTTCTCTAGTTAGCATCGAATAACTTTGCTAAATGCTAACTAGGGAAACGAAGCTTAAACTGTGAGACAGTGCATAACAATATGGTTAAGCTTATTGATTTGTGAATATGTAGCTTTTAGTTGTCAGAACTCACTCATGCTTCGATGATAGGCGACGGGCACTCCGTCCGACCAGATCTCCCGTGGATAGGTCTTCTTTCTGAAATAAAAGATCTACTGACTAGGATCTAGATCTTGATTTCTAAATGAAAGCATTTGTCCTGCATTTCACCTGTAGGCTTGTCTTTTCACCCGTCCCTTTGAGGTCATTTCTTTTCCTCTAAAAACGCTCGATTTGGTCGAATGTCGTGCTCCAACAAAATGTCTCTAAAATTCACCATCAATCCTTCACAATGGGATTTGGCACTCACGAATATTGTGCGTTCAATCGGCTCATCGTCAGCGTTCGATTGATCGATGCCTCGTGCGGCTCAACTTCATGCTGAATTCATATAGTTGATTTTGAGCAATTTCAAGTTCAAAACTAGAGTTCGGCAAACAAAACCAAAACCAAAACAGACCAAAACCAAAGCCAAAACCAAAACACCAAAACAAACCAAAACTCAATTTGCATATAAATTAACATGTAAATTTAAAATTGTAAAATGCAAATTTGCCTTTCACTTTTTTTCTTCTTACCCTCAAAATCTCGCGGCGAAAAAAGGACCAAAACACGACCTCGAAATTTCGAAACAAAAAATGGCCTATGGGATAGATTTTTGGACGCTGATTTCAAATCTGCAAACAGATTTTCGCTAGCTCCTCCCAATGGCGAGATATTGGCGAGTTTTGGTTAGTTTTTTTTTTGGTTTTGGTTTTTTTTGGTCTGTTTTGGTTTTGGTGGTTTTGGTTTTGGTTAAGTTTTGTTTTCCGAAGTCTATTCAAAACTTACATGTGCTGGCTGATTTTGAAGATTTTGTTCAACGGCTGATGAGAGTGAATCAAAGAGAGCCGAGTTTTCACCAAATTTCACGAGATTTCGGAGCTGAAATGGATAATCTGATGATTTATTTTCTGATTGCTTCTGTTAAGCTATAGAAAAGCTTTGAGCTATAGCTTTTGAGCTCTTCCTAAACTCTCTAGGATCTTGGAAGAAATCAGGAAGAAAACTTAGCAAACAAGAATGTTAAAAAGGCGAATCTGGAAAGCTAAACAGATCAGGAATTTTTTCCAGCCTCAGCTTTTTGTTCTGGCAGTCAGATCTTCTTAATTTTTCTTAAAATACAGTTCAGAGTGAGATCAGTGGACACTGATCAGTTCTGATCAGTGAGAACAGTTCCCCAAACAAACCGTCAACTCTTGACCACTCTCCGTCTCACACAAAACACCCAAATGAAAAGAGTAAAATATTAATAGAAAAATCGAGATCATTTTTAGAATAAATAGAAAAATAAAATAAGTTCAATGTTGTCGATAAAAGCGAATGGAGGACTGAAAATCTCTCTCCTTGATCGGTTGCTTTTCCGGTTGTTCTCAATTCTCAATCGCCTTTTCTTCACGAGAAAGTGAGAAGATCGTCACCCAATTTTCCGATCGCATTTCCGATTTTTCCCTTTTTCCCCTTAAATAAGCGAATCGCTTTCGATTTGGATTAAAGCGTAAGTCTATTTTTTTCGAAAATTTTATCGTTTAGGCCTATGCTCATTCAACTCCTGTTTCCAATCTTGAATCTACATCAAATAAAATGTATCTACATCAAATCTACATCAAATGTACGATTTGCATTGGAAAGATCTCTGCAGATTTCCTCTGCAGAATGGTTCTTAGCAATTTAGAAAAGCTTTCGCTTTTGAGGTTTCTCGGGAGCGCAAAGGCGAGTAGACAAAATTGTCAAGAATTTTTGTTTGTGTTTTGTGTGAGACGGTTGGCAACTTTTTTTGATGGGAACCGACAATAACTTTCTATGCCAAACAAAGATCAATCTCTGTTATATTTTTAATAAAATCTTCAGTAAAATCCATGCAGCCATTCTCTAAAACTTTCAAGTTATTCAGTTTTTCAAGTTTCGATCGTTTATAACTTGCCAACCTACCGTAAATACTACCGTAATAGTTCCCCCACCGCCCTCGTACAGTCGCGTAGTCGCAAATGTTTTTTAGTATTTCATTTTTTTCAAAGCGACCGTATTTTCCAAAAATGCGTCTTTGGTATCAAAAAATAGCTGAAATTCAGGGCTATTTTTTGATACCTAAGCGCCCATTGTAGCATAAACCAGTGTCAAGAAAAACTCGTTCAAAGCTAGACTACGCAACACTCCGCACCGTCATTATGGGGTGGGGTCCAAAATTACAGTATTTACGGTAATACATTACTTGTATTCAAGCCAAAACAATTTGCAAAACGCAACTTTATTCTTTTATGTCTGAGTTTTAAGAAACAGAATGAAAATTTATTCTTTTAAGTTGTCCAAAAAAATGTTTTCAATTGTTATTCAGAAAAGAAAAGAGGTTGAGAGCCGATCACCAGAATTTCCGAGAGTACAATTGTTTACGAACCTAAAAAGATGAGAATTATTTTTGAAATGTAAAGTCGTAAATAAATTTATCCTCAAAAGGATACTGTATTGTGAGTCAGTGTACCATCTTTTAAAATGCAATTTTTCACCTGCTCAAGCTCTGTTTCGGGTACACGAAATGTGTAGAGACGAGGCTTATTCGAGAGAGAATATTGGAAATTTTGATTCGGGCCGTCCATCGAATTTGTGTTCTCGTTTAGCTGAAAGGAGTTTTGGATTTATGAAATTGAAATTTATGCTGATTTTTGCTCTTTAGATCATCGGATGAGTTAAACGGTTGAAAATTTCCGTACAATATTTATTAATAGTCAATCATCTTCGCAAATAGTCATTTTTTTCTTAATGTATTATCGTTTATATTATTCATTTTCACTCATAAAATATTCCGTCACTGAAAATGAGCATACAGTGGAAAAATATTCGTTTAATCAACCAACCCTGAACAAAGTATTCGCTTGGATCAAGAAGAGAAGTGAAAGAAAGGAAAATAATCTGAAAGCTCGCTTTTTTTAAAAACTTTTTCTAATGAAACTTACCGAAAAAGCATTTTCTGGGTGAAAATCGTGTTTCCCCGAAGCGAGTTGAGATTTGAGCTGGAAATTGTAATAAGAACAATGATAATAATAAGAAAATGAAAATAAGAACAATAATAATAAGAAGAAGAACTAACAAATGAGAACCGAATAAGAACTGAAACGGGCCCGAATAGGAAACCGAATGGAAACGGAATAGGAACCAAATTGGAACCAAAAGGAACCAAATAGGGAGGAAAATAGAACCTAGTAAAGAATCAAATAGGGTAATCAAATCGGAATCAAAATAGGAACCAACCTAAGAATCAAATAGGAACCAAATAGAGAATCAAATAGGAACCAAATCGGAATCAAATAGAAACCAAAAAGGAACCAAAAGGAACCAAATCGGAACCAAATTGGAACCAAATCGGAACCAAATAGGGAGGAAAATAGAACCTAGTAGGAACCAAATAGGAACCAAATCGGAACCAAATAGGAAGCAAATCGGAACCAAATATGAAGCAAATCGGAACCAAATAGGAACCAAATCGGAACCAAATAAGAACCGAATGTTCTTTTTATTTTTATTTTTAAGAGCTGATACGCAAAGCTTTACAATCTGAAATCCAACTTATAAAATATTTGAAGAATGATTTCTACAAAGCAGCGACAGCAATTCAAGAGATTTATGTCGGAATTCCCAGTAAAGTACGAGAAAAGGAAGTGCAATTTTGGGGGAAAATTACGATTTTCCCCTGTATAGGCAGACGCTCGTAAAACTTACTCGTAAATGTAAGTTGAAATTAAATTTTTGTCTTTAAAAAGCAAAGGAAGACGAATTCTGCATGAAGTAAAGTTGGAAAGAAACAAAAATAAAAAGTCTTGTCTTTTTCGTATCAAGTACATACCGTAAATACTGTAATTGGACCCCACCCCCATAATGCGGAGTGTTGCGTAGTCTAGCTTTGAACGAGTTTTTCTCGACACTGGTTTATGCTACAATGCGCGCTTAGGTATCAAAAAATAGCCCTAAATTTCAGCTATTTTTTCATACCAAAGACGCATTTTTTGAAAGTACGGACGCTTTGAAAAAATGAAATACTAAAAAACTTTTGCGACTACGCGACTGTACGAGGGGAGTACTATTACAGTATTTACGGTATGGTTTATGAACAAAAAGCAAACTCAAAGCTAAACTCAAAGCTTCAAGAATGTAAAATTAAAATCTGATTTACTAGTTTACTTTAAAAATGATCGATTTGAACTGATCGATTCGAAAAAAATCGTATTTTTCGATTTCTTATGTGAAATTTCAAATTTTTCATTCGAAAACTAGAAAAAGCTTTGTTACAACATGTTACCAAAACGTTATTTCCTTTCTTTTACTTACCGTAAATACTGTAATAGTACCCCACCCCCATAATGACGGTGCGGAGTGTTGCGTCGTCTAGCTTTGAACGAGTTTTTCTCGACACTGGTTTATGCTACAAAGCGCGCTTAGGTATCAAAAAATAGCCCTGAATTTCAGCTATTTTTTGATACCAAAGACGCATTTTTTGAAAGTACGGGCGCTTTGAAAAAAAAATGAAATACTAAAAAACTTTTGCGACTACGCGACTGTACGAGGGGGGTGGGGTACTATTACAGTATTTACGGTATTAGAAAATCCCCTAAACTATGCAAGAGCTTAAATTTTCTATAGTTGATCCCTTTTGATACGTTTCAATTGACAAAATAGACTTTTCTCATCTTCATCTTCATCAAAATCTGATCCTATAATTAATCTCTAAATCTTTATTCATTTTTTTTTCTTTTTCCCTTTTGAGAAAGATCAAAAAGCGATTAATTAAATAAATAGAATGATGATGAAAATGATGAGAGGGAATTCGATTTCATTTTGAATATTCACAAGGGTTCGCTAAAATGGAAACGAAAAAAAAAGAGAATTCTCAGCAAAGAAAGCAAAGAAATTTGCCATTTTTCACAACCAAAAGAAGCGCCTTTCCTAAAAAAAACGAACAAAACGATGAGCCTTTGAGAAGCGAAACTTTAACTCAAACATGATGAGCCTCTAGAGAGGAAAAAAGATAATTCAAAAATAGAAGAGATCTGGGTTGGAATGGAGAAAATCTCGTATCAAGTATTTGTAGATACAAGCTAAAAAAGCTCGATGACGCTAGTGCAAAAGAGAACTAGTTTGCTGACTATTCTGTTAGCAATTCCACTTCGTTTTCTTGATTGTCCTGAAATTTGTCAACGAATCGGATTAGACTGTGTTCCTCTCGAGCAAGTAGTTACTAAGTAGTAGTTAAGTAGTTAAGCTCGATGACGCTAGTGCAAAAGAGAACTAGTTTGCTGACTATTCTGTTCCGAATCTAATTCCACCTTCGTTTTCTTGTTGATTGTCCTGAAATTTGTCAAACGAATCGGATTAGACTGTGTTCCTCTCGAGCAAGTAATTACTTGAAGAGATTTGCGTAAGTAATTTTTTTCTACTTGAGTAACGCGTCAAGTAATGTCAAGTAATGGTATTCTAAAAAGTACGTTTTTCAGTTGTTTAAATAAGCAGTTTTATTATTATTGCTTTACATTTCTTTTAAAAGCTAATAATTTTAGTGACTGTTACTCTTTAGTAACTGTTACTGTCACTCTAAAAGTAACTGTTACTGTTACTCTAAAAGTAACTGTTACTCTTCCGTAACTGTTACTGTTACTCTAAAAGTAACTGTTACTTTTAGTAACTAAAATCGTCTCAATCTATCTAGCAAAAAAGCCAAAAATTTTTGAATTGATTTGATTTGCAAAAATTTGCCTCGAGTTGGGGTCAAACTTGCCGCCTAACGGCTCCACACTTTAGAGACAAACAGGCAAGCCATTCGGTCAACCGTTAAATTAGTTTCCCTTTGGAACGTGTTTTAAAACTCGGCAACGTGCAATTACTCGGAAGGAACACACTCTAGATCGGATATCCCTATCCGATCTAGAGTGTGTTCCCTTCCGAGTATTTGGGTGATTGTTCTTAAATTGTAAACAAAATTTAAGAACAATCACCCAAAAAACGGCCAAGAAAGCGAAGGTGAAATTGGGTTAGGTTCGGGCCGGAGTTTGCCCATGATTACTACTGATTATTGGAGTTCTTTCAAGATTAGTGACTATTATTTCTATTCGATTTTGATAATCAGAATTGGGAACGATTAGTTGGATGAGAGTCATGAAAACCGTACACCTTTGAAATTAAAAATGTAAAAACGCTTTGTTATTGAAAAAATAACTCATGCAGTGGATTACGGTGGGGAAAATTGAATAAGAGTAGGCGATGAGAGATCCGATTTGCCCCAAAGAATTGGATGAGATTAGCGAAGGCATTCAAAAAGCAGTACATCGGTCCAGAAATTCCGCTTTTAGAAAACATTAGTTAATTGGATAATAGACGCATTATGGCTATAATTAATTGGAGGAATCGCGGATTTTGTAAGAAAACGTAAATAGAAAATGATGCATTAGAAAAAGGGACTCCTCTCGAATAGAATGCTTTCTAAAAAGCGCTCTTAAGAGAAGATACCGTACTCTGATTGTTTTTAGAATTTAGACAATCAAATAAACATACTGTATTTCCCCAAATGAACGCTCACCCAAGAAGGGTGTTCGAAAAACCCCGCTAAATAGAGTTTAGTTTTCTGAGCTCACGATCAGAACATGTATTGAGCAAGCTTTAATCTTTTCCCTGTCAGCACCTTGCTTGCAGCAAGCAAGCAAGGTACTGACAGGGGAAAGATTAAAGCTCGCGATGGAATCTCGATGTATAGAACATCTTGTAGAGTTTGAAAAATAGAAAATTACAAGTGTTGAGCTCACAATCAATTCTTCATGTTAAAAATATGTACATGATTGATGGTGAATAAGGTTAGGTGATCGGATAATATGAGAAATAAACAGCCATCTCTAAAATGTAGACGCCCACTCAAAGAAGATGTTCAAAAATAGACACCCAGGAGATTATTCAACGAAATGCGGTATCTTGTTACCCGTCAACTACCTTAATCGAGTCGTTAAAAAGGGCAAGATTACGGTAGTTGCTTTTCGTAGTCAACTTTTTAGAAAACGAGCAACATTCCATCAAGAAAAAGCTTACAGACTCTATTTAGCTTACAGACTATTTATTTAACAAATAAATAATAATAGTATTTAATTTTAGTTAATATCCAGATTTTAGCATTTCAATCAAGAACAATTAAATGATTTCACTAGGATAAATGTGCTCTCATTAATGGTGGATTATCGGCTATAAAACGAGGTCGGATTTTCTCGAAAATCACGTTTTTTTTCGAGGAAATGGGATAAGGAAATCAAAAGCGAAAAGCGGCATTGAAAATGGAGGAAAATGAGGCGATGGAAGGCTATTCTTGGACTTCTCCTTTGGACAAATGGAATAATTTAAAGCGAAAGCACGGGTATCTTCGACGAGAATTTTTATGAATCAGAGATCAGTTAGACTGAACTTTTTCATGGGGGAAACATTGGAAAATGAAATGCTAAGTTCGTGCTTTGGTTTGGAATGTGCAACATTTTATGTACCGTATTTTCTATTAAGTGAAAAGATCGTAATCAACCAATAACTTTGAAAGCGCATCGCTTGGGTTGAAACATTCCAACAACTCGGATAAACCTCATAGTTTTAAACAATTTCCTCTGATAAAATGCCCGTGGCAAGACATCCCCGATCACCCAGGTGTTCTTTGTGTACAAGCGTAATCGCTCGCGATCTGGCGCACGTCTTTTCACTTAACCCCCTCCCTCGATCCGCTCATAAACTTACCTGGCTGGGGGTTTCTCGTGATCATCAAGACGGGACCCCCATGGTGAGACATGGTCATTGCACTTTGACTGTGTTGACCTGTGTGGCAGCTCCCGAGTTGGGGTTCGCTAACAGCTAAATTTTTGCGTGAGGGGCTGCGTTCTTGCGGCCCTGCCAAACATGTCAACAATTGTAATTTAGTGTAGCAGCCCCACAAATTTATCCATTTTTAACTTC